TTACAATCTGCTGGACAGTGGCTAAAATAAACATGATGGGTTTAAGAATTTAAAAATGTAACTAATACTTACTATTAAAGAAGTCTGCATGTACTGCCTTTTCATTGGCAGCTAAATCCATCAACAAACCTGTACTTCCACCAGCCTGAGAAAGAATAGTATTTAATCAACTATAAAAGCAATATACAGAGAATCATTATTGCACTGTTTCATATACCCTTTCATCTTGGATCTCAAACTTCCAAATCTGACTGCCTATGATTTTCTACCTATGCCACTACACACTTTCATCTTCTGCAGCCCTTACTGCAGTATAGTAGTTTAATCAGGCTTGACACTCATTTTGTCCCTTTCAAGTGAAAGGATACAAATAATCTTTTCATGCCCTAGGCTCCTTTGGCTAAAGGTGCGGGGTAAATAACAGCAATAATGGGAAAGCACCTGCCCAGAAATAATAATGGAAAATGAATTGCACAGAAATCCATCAGTGCACCAGGAGATGCCCTACTGGGGAGATCTGCAGAACAGCAATGGAATAGAAGCAAACCCAAATGGACCTTGGATTATGCCAGATGCAAAAGTTGACCCGATAAATAGCTGACTGGGAAAAGCTACTTGCCTGGCTGGTGCCATTTTGGTACCAGGCAAAGATCTTTTTTTATTCCCCCCATTTTTAACTGTAATTTCTTTTGTTTCTGCTATGTGTTTATGTATTTTAAATATTTATAAATCACCCTTCCTCAAAAGGAACTCAGGGCTATGTACAACACACCCAAGTCATGATAGGTAACAGCAACAATCAGAGGAAAGGAGGACACACCATACGTGGGCAGGAAAAAACATTATGGATGAAATAATAGTCACACATAGTAAAGAATAATGATAACAGAGTTCCTCACTTGAAGTTTTATTAATTACTTAATGTAACAACACGAATAGAAATCATCAAGAATGCAGCTGTTCTATAAAGGTTTATAAATTTAACTGGAATGTAACTGAAATTAACAAGATTTTGGAATGCAGGAAAAAAGCATTGTTATAATGGGGCTATTATTGGAATAATATTGGAAAACTAATAACAACTTATTTTTTTTAAAGAGTAAAAGCATAATGCGAGGAAGTCTCATTATTAAAACTCTGATTCAAACACTGATGATGATGATTAAACATCATACTAAAAATGCCTTCCAACTGTTTCTGAAGAACAATGCCGGTGGCAGATGTTCATACACTGCCTATATATGCTTAACTGCCATTCTGTTTTACTGCATGGATTTTTAGTTTGCAACTTTTCCATAAGGCATCCTGAAAACTTAGTTTTAGGACAGCAAATACTACTGGAAATAAATAGAGAGGATGCAATGCTCACTTCTTGTCAATGCATCCATACTTTCATTTTCTCCTCCTCATAAGACTCACAGACAACTGGATCAAGTTGCTGGCGGGGGGGGGGGGGGAATTAGCAACAAAAGGCTGAAGTTATTTTTGCCTCCCAGCATTTTTTGTGAGATATTCCCCTCTGCCTTTTTCAAAACCTCAGTATTATACAGGAAGCTCGAGCGTGCCTGTGGAACCAAAGTGCAAGCATGGAAGGCGGGGAGCAAAACGGGGCCTGAAGGTTGGCAAAAAAAAATAAAAAAAAATCCTATCGCACCTTCACACATATTACCGGCGCATTTTTATGTCTGTTATATTCTAAAGATATTTAATTGTGGGGTTCCCCCCCCATCGCTTTTAATCTGTTCATATTTTTGATCTGTAAGCCGCCTCGAGTCCCTGTCAGGGGGGAAAAGGCGTGGCACAAAATAATTAAACACACATACACCCCCCTCCCGCCAGCCTTAGAAATGTAAGAGGTGCCTTGCTGGATCAGGCCAAAGGCCCACCTAGAAGACCCTTGAGAGGCGCCCCCACCCCCCTGCTTACTCAGCAGCTCCCCCTTTACACCCGAGGAGGGGAAAGAACCAGAGAAAGAGCCCAGGCCGCGCGGGCTTTTTAAGCAAGCGACAGCCCCGCGCGAGACCCCCGCCTTTTGCACCCGGGGCTCGACCGCTCACCTCGTCGAGGTCCACGTAAGGCCCCGCGCCCTCAGGGAACATCTCGTCCACCGCCGGCTTCATGTCTACGACCCTCTGTAAAACTTTCCGGCTACTCTCCAACATCCGGTCGGAGCGTGAAGCAGCTTCCGGTCTCTCTAGGCGCGCGGTGGAGCGCCGTCTCTATGGCGTTCTGCGCCGGGCTCCTTTGGAAGTGGGCTGGCGCTCCTCTCCGCGGGCAGCGGCGGCGGCGGCGGCGGCGTTTCTTGCTCCCTCGGCGCGGCGCGGCGGGAGGAGATCCAGGCACCGCTTGGGAAGAAGGGGAGCGACAGCAACGCCGCTTCTCCCCATCTCAGCTCTCAATTTATCCGGAGGGATAACTTTTACGAATTGGGCTGTTGTTAAAGCTTACCTGGGAATACGTCCCATTGGACTCAGCGGGGCTTGAATCAGAATTGAAATTAATAAGATTTTGGAAGGCAGAAATAAAGAAAATCATCAAACCATCAATTCTAGGGGGGGGGGAGCGGGGACGGACCTAAATTATATAATCTGGTTTTTGAATTATTGGTATTAGTGCTTTTTTTCTTTAAAAAATGTTTAGGAGTACAGCCATACCTCGGGTTACAGACGCTGCAGGTTGTGTTTTTTCGGCTTATGGACGCACCAAAAACCGGAAGTACTGGAACGGGTTACTTCTGGGTTTCGGCGGTCGTGCATGCGCAGAAGTGTTAAATCGCGCTTTGCACATGTGCAAAAGCGCTGGATCGCAATCCGCGTGTGCACAGACGTGGTGCTGCGGGTTGCGAACGCTGCAGGTTGCGAATGTGCATCCCGCATGGATCACATTCGCAACCCGAGCGCCCACTGTACTTCCATTTTCCTACTCATATTGAAGTACTGCCCCTCGATGAGGCCAAACTTAGATTCACAAAATGTTTAGGGGTATGCGTACCCCCAGATAAAAAGCACTGATATTAGTAATTGTATTATGAATTGGTATTGTTATAATGAGGCTATTATTGGAATGTAATTGAAAACTAATAAAAATTATTATTAAAAAGAATCAGAATTGGAAGGGACCACGAGGGTCATCTATTCTGACCCCCAGCAATGCAGAACTCTTGTCCCCACCCCTAAAGCCGGGCTCGAACTCACGACCCTGAGATTAATAAGAGGCCCATTCTCCTCCAACTGAGCTATCCAGAGGGTTTTAGAATTTTACTGTTAAAAAGATTCCAAGGAGGTAGGCAAAGGCGTGAAAAAATGCCAGTGGGGTTGCTTAAAAAAAAATAAATAAACCACTCAGCCCACCGTGTGGGGAACAGAGTAGCAGGGAGTCAGGGGGATTGAACAGGATGGCATGGGGTTCCCAGGTGCCATTTTGTCCAGGGCACCTCAGACCTGGAAGCATCACTGCCTACTGCTATTCCTGAGAAGCTGCTTTATACCCGGAAACTACAACTAATCCAGAATGCGGCAGCTAGACTGGTGACTGGGGGCGGCTGCCGAGACCACATAACACCGGTCTTGAAAGACCTACATTGGCTCCCAATACGTTTCCGAGCACAATTCGAAGTGTTGGTGTTGACCTTTAAAGCCCTAAATGGCCTCGGTCCAGTATACCTGAAGGAGCGTCTCCACCCCCATCATTCTACCCGGACACTGAGGTCCAGCACCGAGGGCCTTCTGGCGGTTCCCTCATTGTGAGAAGCAAAGCTACAGGGAACCAGGCAGAGGGCCTTCTCGGTAGTGGCGCCTTCCCTGTGGAACGCCCTCCCATCAGATGTCAAAGCGATAAACAACTACCTGACATTCAGAAGACATCTTAAGGCAGCCCTGTTCAGGGAAGTTTTTAATGTGTGACATTTTAGTGTATTTTTGGTTTCTGTGGAAGCCACCCAGAGTGGCTGGGGAAACCCAGCCACATGGACGGGGTACAAATAATAAATTATTATTATTATTATTATTATTATTATTATTATTATTATTCTGAAATCAGACCATTGGTTCATCCAGCTCAGTACTGTCCACACTGCCTGGCAGTGGATCTCAAGGGTTTTAAGAATGAGGCCTTCCCAGCCGTACCAAAGTCGTGGGAGGTTGTGGGAGGCAAAACCTGCTCCACCACTGAGCCAAGTCTTTCTGATCCTGGAAGCAGTATGTAGTCATCAAAACTAGTAGCCATGGACAGACTTATCCTCTACAAATTAGTCTAACCTCCTTTAAAAACAGTTTTAGCCGTCATGTCTTGTCGTAGCAGCTTCTATACTTTAACCGTTCACTGTGTGACAACCAATTTTTTTATCTGTCCTAAATCTCCGACTTCATTGGATGACGCCTGGATCTAGCATTATTTGAAAAGGAGAAAAGCTTCCTCCGCATATGCATCATTTTATATTCTTCTGTCATGTCCACCCCCACCTTTTTTTACTAAACTAAAAGGATTCAGTTTCTCATAGCACTAATCTTGGTTGCTCTTTTCAAACTCTACAACATCCTTTTTGAGATGCTGTTTCCCAAACCATAGGTAAAAAGGTACCCCTGACCATTAGTTCCAGTCACGGACGACTCTGAGGTTGCGTGCTCATCTCGCTCTATAGGCCGAGGGAGCCAGAGTATGTCTGCAGACAGCTTCCGGGTCATGTGGCCAGCATGACTAAGCTGCTTCTGGCGAACCAGAGCAGTGCACGGAAACACCATTTACCTTCCTGCCAGAGCAGTACCTATTTATCTGCCTGCACTTGGTATGCTTTTGAACTGCTAGGTGGGCAGGAGCTGGGACCAAACAACAGGAGCTCACCCTGTCGCGGGGATTCGAACTGCCAACCTTCTGATTGGCAAGCCCTAGGCTCAGTGGTTTAGAACCATACTGTGTTCCTAATCATAGACGCATGCAATGTCATCACACAGATTTATAGAACTATGGATACATGGGGCTCTAGAGAAAACAGCATTAGAATCAAATAATTCTTTATTCTGCTTGCAAAAAAAGGTAAATAGTAAGTATATATAGTCTACTAAAAAAGAAGCCACACTAAGATTTAACATTAGAAGTACCAGGAACAGAAGTTACGTATTTGATATAAAAGAAGCAGTGGAATAACACAGTTGTTAGAAAAGTAATTCTGGTGATCCGTTGGTATTGGTAATTGTTGGGAATCGCCAAGTGAGTTAGTGCTCATGATCTGGGACATGATATCCAAGAGTGCTTCCAAGAGGTTGATGAGCAAAGAAGGTCCTGGCCATCTCATTGATTCTATGGTATGCTCCCAAGATCCGGAAGTATTCCACATATGCCCAGAAATCGTTGGCCGTGAAAGGCCAATAGGGCATGTTTGCAGGCTGTCTGTAGGGGTCTAAAACAAAATATGCATGAGGTTCTTTCCCCCCGATAACCAAGACATTTGGGATTGAAGACTCACGCTACCTAAACAAGTACCTTTTAGTCGCATTCCCTGAATGGGGCTGGTGCTACGCTTTAGCACAGTCACCTTAATAAATAGTATGCTGCTTACATCTGTTTCCCAACATAGTTATTCAAAGTATTTTAAGCTGCTGTTTAGAGCTACGCCCTCGTGAAGCGAGTGAGAGCGAAGGTACCACAGGAAAACAGTCGCAGCAGAACGGATGTGCTGATTAGTTAGTATGAGAAGTTGCTCTGACATCACAAGCTATATGTGGCATCCGTTAAAGGTAGCCATGGAGATGAAGGAAGGTCTTCAAGGCTCACTACCATATTGGTTCAAAGATTAGCTGCCTTCAAATATCGGCCACAGATATCTTTATAAGGAATAATAAAAATAGGCCCTAAATCTCTGGCATCATCCAGTTCTTTTTACAATTTAAAGAGAACGTGGAACCTCTAGTGTTTTTTTCTCACCAGGCAACTAGCACCACCTGTTGAGAACGTTGGGTGATCCTTTTACCAAAACTATGAAGTAAATGGAAATTCCATGCAGTTTCCAAGGTCTCTTAAATCACAGCTTCTCTATGTATAAAAGTGCTACCAGAGGCCACACTCCAGTTTTATACACACCAGCTTGGGGTGGAGGGAGTGTTTCTGCTACATGAATATACTTCTCATTGTGTTGAATGCTGGTTTTCTCCTCCTGATTGCTGCAAATCTTTGGGAAGAATGAAAGAAAAAGCAACCAGACCCCAAAACATTGAAATATGAAGTCATAGAATCCATGGTGGGTCTTTAAAACATGGTATATAAATCCAAATAACCCCAGGAAAGTGAATAGTGCTACATAATACTTAAATTTCAAGTTCAGCTGGATGTGGCCATATAATTTAGCTTTAATCAACACTGTGCTGCCAATTTGATTAATGTGCTCTGGCCAGGGGAATCAATGGCTATCTGTCTGACTTCAACTGGTTCCATGGAGACCCTATTCCAGGATGCAAAGTTCTAGCTTCAGAAACTAGATGGAGGCAGCACTGTTTCCCATCTGCAACTCCTGATTCAGGAGTGGTGCAGCCATCCTAAATGTTATTAATTCAGTATCATTGCAGATTGTGCTATTTCATATGGTGATTTACATTCTGCCTTGCGAGCAGTTTCTTAAAAAGGAAAATGTTTATGTGTGTTTGTAATTTTGGCAATTGCAGGTTTTAGTTCCTGTTGCTACTAAATGTTGAATTGATGTTTTCTCGGGGGTGTCTGATGCGGCTCAGTTTCTTTCAAATCTCCTCTGACATTTGATCAAACTTCACATTTGCAAGAATTCCCATTTTTAGACAAACTAGAGATGGGATTGAGCGAGACAACCACAAACAAACAAAATCCCTTTACCTTCTTCATCCTCGATCGGTCTGGCACCTGTAATTAGGGAAGAAATTCATCATCAGCCACTCGGTGAAAAGTCACAGTTTTACAAAGAGCTGCTGCTCCGTCACCACAAAACTAATAAGCAGCTAAGTTTCTGGTTTTCAAAATACTGTAATAAAAGAATAGTATGTTTCAACTCTCACTCAGAAGAAGTGTGCATGCACACGAAAGCTCATACCAAGAACTAACTTAGTTGGTCTTTAAGGTGCTACTGGAAGGAATTTTTTTTGTTTTGACTATGGCAGACCAACACGGCTACCTATCTGTAACTCATTACGCATCGTGAAATTAAACATTCATTATATTTGAATTCTGTATCATATTCCAAGCATATTGCAATGAATAAAGTAACTGACGGGGGGGCGGGTGAAACAATATATATCTATTGCAATAAAGATACCTGTTTGTGTGTTCACCAAAACGCAGAAGCAAACTATGACCACAAAGGTTAACTTCATCTTTCCTGCAAGGAATATTTGTGTCTGAAGTTTAGCCTGTATAAAGAATGATGATGATGATGATGATATCAAAATATAGAAAGGCTCAATCTACACATTTTCTTTCTGCATAAAATACACCTTTTTGTCTTGTGAACAGTACACAACCCATTACATTACTAATTGCAAAACTTTTTTTTACAAAGTACAATGATGCTGTTTTGTTAAGTCCCCTGCAAACATCTACATTTTGCATGAAATTTGATGCCTTGGAAACCACTTACTATTGGGGTTGGTTTTAACTTCAGAAATTACCTTCCCTTCTTTCTTTTAAATCAGCGGACGTTTGTAGCTTTGAGTCAGCCGCAAAATCCTGAATGAGCTTCTATTGCTGCAAAATAGCAGTACTGTTTTGAAGAGGCTGGAGGAGTGTTTGTAAGGGAAGGAACGTCACTCACACAGCACGCCAATCTGACTCTTTCATCCTAATCTTGAGATGTTTACAGTGTGCTGCTAATATGAATGGGGTGGTAGAATATCAGTGGTGCAAAACTGCAAATCTTGGAAGTCTTTTATTTTTTTGCCATTTCACTTGTATGGAATCCAGGATCCAACTTCAGTCATCTTTAATATATTGTTGCGTAATCTAGTGTACCATACCTGGTGTTAAGTGCTGTGTGTATGACTCTGCTGAGTGGACAGAAAATCTCAGAGTTAATTTTTAGGACACCCAGATAATTCAGTTTCAGTTATAGTACTTGAATTTAAAGCAGTTTGTTCCTACTGAAGCACGTAAGGTTAATGCCCTAATCTTAAACTCCTGTGGTAGCATGTCTGCCTTGGTTGTCTGAGATAAGTCATAAATCATCTTAAATCCTAGCAGTATTTAATGGTGTTTTGGATTGGATTGCCTGACATTCCAGTTTATTCTCTGTAAGAGTAGATCTTTTCAACCAGAAGGCTTTAATGATGATGATGATGATGATACTGGCAGCAGGAATTGCTTTTGAGTTAAGTGATTATAACTTTCATTTTTTCACCACTATTTCAGGAGTAGGGGAACAGTTGGAACATGCTGTTCTGTGCTGTTTTAGCAGCTAAAGGTGCCTCATGTGGATTTCAGTCTACAGCAAAAAAAAGCTAGGAGGAAAATGGAATTCTGAGGTATTTCACTGCTTCTACAAAGACAGCTCAGAAAGTGCTGCAGATTTGTTGGTTCGCTTCACGATGATACCATTGAAAGATGCAGAGGACCTACTTAACCCCAGTAAAATTAGCAAAAATGTATAGAACAAGTACCAATATATGTTGGAAATGTAAAGGAAAAGAAGGTAAATGGAATTGTAATGTAACAAAAAAATTCTGGGAAATATAATGAAATGAAAAAAATGTTAAAAATAACCTTTTTTAATTAGGAATTATAGGTACCGTGATCCCAAAGATCAGAGGAAACTGGTCGCATATGCTACAATGGCCGCTCGGATGCTACTAGCCCAGAGACGGAAGGAAGAGGAAACTCCGACCAAAGAAGAATGGCAAATCAAGCTGATGGACGATGCCGAAAGTCAGCATGGTGCAAACGCATCAGCGGAGCCAACTGCTACTGATCCTGCCTACTTTTGCCGCAGCTTATAGCCACCACCCAACCCCCAGACTGAAAAAGGTTCTCTGCTCCTGTTTTAGGTGGCAGTTTGTGTCTTAAAGATGCAGGTCACTAAGAGCCCATTACACCAGTAGGCCATTATCTGCCGTGGTTTGTTAAACCTTCCAAGAACCTTCAAAGCCAATAGCAGCTCTGTCCAGCGGTACAGTGGTACCCCGGGTTAAGAACTTAATTCGTTCTGGAGGTTCGTTCTTAACCTGAAACTGTTCTTAACCTGAGGTACAACTTTAGTTAATGGGGCCTCCGGCTGCTGCTGCGCCGCCACCACAGGATTTCTGTTCTCATCCTGAAGCGAAGTTCTTAACCTGAGGTACTATTTCTGGGTTAGCGGAGTCTGTAACCTGAAGCGTCTGTAACCCGAGGTACCACTGTACTGCCCGTTCCATGGAAGCTGTCATGTAAAGCTCAAGATATACAGCAGAATTGTTCCTCACAGCTCTTCATACCTTCCTTACACTCCTTCTTAACTAAGGAAGAAAATTGCCTCCTGAGGTTTGATTAAAACTGCATCCTATAATCCTGAGAGATTTATAGTAGCCACCACTTTTGTCCCAGGCATTAGAGCAAGCCATGGTTGTTCATTTTCATAAGCTGAAAGAAAATATGCCTCCCTCTGAGCCCTGTATCAATGATTGCTGACCAAGTTTAAACACAACATGCAGCCCTAAGTAATTTTCCCTTCACTTTTCAAACAATTCAAGCAGCCTGACAAAAAGCATGGGGAATTGAGGCACCTGCTAGGGAACACTGGGACTGAATTAGCATTGTTGTCTGTAGTTCTCATTAACCAGCATATCCCAGAATGAATTCCCAGCAGTGTAGGACACAGGAGCTAGTCAAGCACCAAGGTGTATCACTTAATTTTATATTTGCCATCCACCTATTTGCCATCTAAGGGAAAGGTTCTCCCCGCTCCCCACAAACATAACATCACTGAAAGTATGACACAAATGCAATTTAGTAATGCTCCCCACAATTAACTTTTTTAGTGACAACTAAAGTGAAGTACTTAATATTGTGTATAAATGATTCTGGATGCATGAAATAGTTCTGTAATCCACACTATAATTTATTTTTCAGATATTTTACATCAGTATGCAGTGGTGGCAAGAAACTGTGATGTGGAAAGTGTCTGGATCTTTAAGTTTTATCTCACATTATTTGGCATTGCTTGCCTATCTGCTTTGAGATACGTCTGTTACAACAGCCAACTATGTAACAGGTGAATGGTTACTATCTACACAGGAAAAAACCCACTGTGTTGTGGTTGCACATTGAGCAGATTCAAGGCAGTTTACAACTGGGGCTGTTTATAGTGGATTCTGCTGCCTTTGTTTGTTGGCTGTCAGGACTGTAGCAAAACGCCTTCCACAATCCTGGGAAAGGTAGTTTGTTATGGGTGCTGGAAATTCTAACTCTGTGAGAAGCAAACTATAGTTCCCAGGATTATTTGGTAGAAACAATTTGCTTTAAATGGGATGTGACAATCAACAGCCTCTTATTCTTGGCCCTTTCTTTGTCAAGGAGGGTTACTCAATGCATGCTCCAATTTCAGACCGAGTTTTCCAGTCCCAGTGGAACCGGAACATGGGTGGAATAGCACAATGACATCACCTGCAGAGTAACTCTAGATGTGACAGGGAAAGGGGAAGGTGGAGACATGAGGCTGATGCTAGGTGATTGCTCCCCATCTGCCAAAACATCTGGCTCCACGTTGGTTCCCATATAACGAAGGAGCTGTTGGGTGCAATCTTTTTCTTCCTTTTCTTTTTGTAGTAGAACAATTGTTTCAGGGCCTGTGCATCCGTGAAGTGGTATAGGTGAATATAAAAGAGGGGAGATTCAGCTTCTTCTTCTTCTTTATCATCTTTATTAATTTAAAATACAATTTAAAATACAATCATACAATAAAGGTAAGTACAACAGAGTTAAGCACAAAAAGAAAAAAAAGAAAAAAGAAAAGAAGGACAAAAAAGAATTTAACAGTAGCAAGAAAATGTCAATTGAAAAAGAAAACCAAATATTTATACAACATCATGTCTGATCCAATAAAGTCTTCTATGAAAAACTTCCAATCGTTTTCATTATACTTTTTCTATTGTCTTGATTTTATATTTCAGCTTCATCATGTACAGTGGTACCTCGGGTTAAGTACTTAATTCGTTCCTGAGGTCCGTTCTTAACCTGAAACTGTTCTTCACCTGAAGCACCACTTCAGCTAATGGGGCCTCCTGCTGCCGCCGCGCTGCCGGAGCACAATTTCTGTTCTCATCCTGAAGCAAAGTTCTTAACCTGAAGCACTATTTCTGGGTTAGTGGAGTCTGTAACCTGAAGCGTATGCAACCCCAGGTACCACTGTATAGTGTTCATGAATGCACACATCAGTTGCAGTTCAGAAAAGTGTATTAGTAGCCTACATACGATTGACAGGCTTTACCTAATTAGAGTCCCAGAAGTTATAAATAAAGCTGTATAGGTAAACGCAAACCACAACAAAAGCAGGAGACAAGGGATGAGTGAAAAATGGCTCTTGCATAGAACAATTGATCAGTTTTGTTTTGCTTCTTCATTCTGAACCTCTTGAGCAGAAGCCTCAACTCGGCATTTTGCTTGCTTGGCAAGGATATACGTATGTAAATTCCTCACTAGGCATGCCAAATCAAATTCCACACTGGCTGGAGCCTGTCCAGACAGTACCTTCTGTACTTTCCTGTACCCTCTAGCACTTTTAATATGCTGAAAGCACACACGCTCCCAAGGATCATCTGGAGAAAGCAACAGTGGTGAGGTGTCTTGCTCACAATCCATACAGTGGACAATGTCCCTATTTCACAATGTGTATTGTCCCACGACCCAGTAAGGATAAGAAATTCCAGGGCAATGCAAGCCGGGCAATGCAGCGATCACAGTCTCATGCAGACACTGAAGCATTCAATAGCACAGCATCCGCTGAAAGAACTTAGTATTCCCCCTCCTGGTATCACCTACAAAGCAGTTTCTTTGTTTAAAAGTTTACTTATAAATATTTCAGCTCCATTAGTTGAGAAGCACATTAATCTGCACGATGCAATGAACTGGGCTCAGTTCATTGCAAATTTGTAAAAGCAGAGTAAAACAACAGAGAAGACATTGCAATCGCACAGGAGAACAGGAGCGATATTTTCACCAATGAAGCCCTTGGGAGATGTCTTATTCTGATTAGATTGTGAGCCCATCCTTTCAAATGGCTCAGAGAAGGCAGCAGTTTATCTTTTTTTTTTTCAAATTGTAAAATATTTATTAAAGTTTTAAACACACACAATAAGGTTTACAAAAATCATAAGTTTACAAAATAGAAAAGTTAACAAACTAGAAAAAAGAGAAAAGAAAAAAAGAAAAAAAACACACATAGGAGAAATATATATAGAAAAGAAAAATCATAATAGCTAAATATAAAAAGAAGACAGAAAAAGTTTAAAATTAACTCCATCTTTCAATAATCCTTAATCTCATTTCCTTAATTCTTTGACCTCCTCACACCTCCCCTTTTGTATTCCCGTTTAAAAGAAATCCTTTCAGCAAATCCTTACCCTCTGTCAATTTTCATAGCTCAATATCATCACCTATTATAAATATGTATTTTGACCATTATCAATCCATACTTTCATATTCTTAGAAAACTTTTTACCAATACTACTTATTTTCCATCCGACATCATTTTAACATTCCTTAATTTTACAGTATTTCTGCAGGTAGACTTTAAATTTCTTCCAATCTTCTTCCACCAACTCTTCTCCCTGGTCCCAGATTCTGCCAGTCATTTCTGCCAATTCCATATAGTCCATCACCTTCATCTGCCATTCTTCCAGGGTGGGTAGATCTTGTGTCTTCCAATACTTTGCAATGAGTATTCTTGCTGCTATTGTTGCATACATAAAAAAAGTTCTGTCCTTCTTTGGCACCAGTTGGCCGACAATGCCCAGGAGGAAGGCCTCTGGTTTCTTCAGAAAGGTATATTTAAATACCTTTTTCAATTCATTATATATCATTTCCCAGAAGGCCTTAATCTTTGGGCACGTCCACCAAAGGTGAAAGAATGTACCTTCAGTTTCTTTGCATTTCCAACATTTATTATCGGGCAAATGATAGATTTTTGCAAGCTTGACTGGTGTCATGTACCACCTGTATACCATTTTCATAATATTCTCTCTTAAGGCATTGCATGCCGTAAATTTCATACCTGTGGTCCATAACTGTTCCCAGTCAGCAAACATGATATTATGTCCAACATCTTGTGCCCATTTAATCATAACAGATTTAACCGTTTCATCTTGAGTATTCCATTTTAACAGCAAGTTATACATTCTTGAAAGTACCTTAGTTTTGGAATCTAACAGTTCTGTTTCCAACTTTGATTTTTCCACCTGGAAACCATTTTTTTTGTCCAAATTATATACCTCTCTTATTTGATAATAATGAAGCCAATCTCGCACTCTATCTTTTAGTTTCTCAAAACTCTGCAATTTCAATTTATTTCCTTCTTGCTCCAAAATCTCCCAATATTTTGGCCACTTGGCCTCCATAGTGGGCCTTTTTTGAGCTTTTGCCTCCATTGGTGACAACCACCTTGGGGTTTTATTTTCAAGTAAGTCTTTATATCGTATCCATACATTAAACAGTGCTTTCCTGACAAGAGAAGGCAGCAGTTTATCTTTTCTTCATGTGTGTGTGTCTGAGAGAGAGAGAAGGAGAGAAATTCCAAACCACTTATATTCCAAACTGCAACACAACATGATCAACATGCATCAACATGATCAATATAATCTTTGCTAAAATCAGTTCTTTTGTAATGAGCCATGTCTGGGTTTGGGTTAATAATAATAATAATAATTAATTATACCCCACCCATCTGGCTGGGTTTCCCCAGCCACTCCCCAGCCACATGTAGAATGTTGAGGGCAGGTGATGGGAGCCTGGGATGACAGTCAGGATGGTAGTATTTGTGAGTTGACTGCTGGAATAGGGAAAGGGAAGAGAATGCAGGATATAGGGTCAGCCCAACACATTTTGCTGCCAAAGATGGAGCAAGGGATTCCTCCCCGCCCCTCACCAACACCGCTCAAGGGATATAGCATCCACAGCTGAGTTATTTTGGCACCTGAGAATTGAGCAATTGTTTGATTTTTAATTTTTTTTATTGTTTTATTTTATCCTATTGATAATTTTCCAATATGGCTGAAGCTGGGACATGCCCTAGAATTTATTGATGAGTGTATGGGCCATAACCCCCCCCCCCTTTTAAAAAAACAGCAAGGAAGTAACTAAATAAATATTCTTAAATGTGTTGGGAAAATAGGGTTGGCACGCATTGCTTAATCATCTGTACAAGCTAAAAGATGCACATAATCATGCACATCCAGAATCAGGGAGCAACTCTATATACAAGCAGCTGGTGTAAAGCAGGACAGTGTAAATTAATCCCAGGTGAAGTTACACCAGATCTAGATTCTGTTCAGAAGCGGAGCTACTGCTGTCTGAGCTAGCCTGGCCCTAAGCCTGGCAGAGGGAAAACAATATTTTTAAATAGTTGTTACACCACCCTTTCTGCCAGCTTAATTTATGCTGGGTTGCTGCATCATGCACCAAGACTGAACTGGCTAAGGATTCAGCCTGAGTTCCCTACTCTCTAGTCCTGTCACACCCCCAGAATGCCCCCTTTTTCAGGGCTTTCATCAGCCTAAAATCCACCAGGCTCAGTTCAGCCTGAGATACACTGATGTATCTCTCCTTCCTCATCTCAACTGGGTTCCAGCAGCTGAGCCAAGCCCAGCTGATTGCTGATTGTTACTATTTTGATGTGGCAACCTGATCTGGAGCTAGAAGTGTAATCGCAGCCCTCAAGATAAATCCAAGCAACTCATCATCTGAAAAATCCAATGCTGCTGCTTTAGATGTTTGTGATTCTTCCTACATGGAAAGTACTTTGGTGGTGCATGCCGTATTTTGTTTCAGAATGTCTCAGCACATGAGTTTTATGTCTTTCCCCTGCCCATCAGTGTTTTCCCTGCAGAATGATCATGACGTCTGAAGCAGATTGATGCCTATTTTAAAAAATCACCACTTTTGTAGGGCAAGAGATGGTCATATGTTTTATGCTGTCTGCAAGCGCCACCTACTGCATAACTTGTGAAAGGAATGGCTATGAACTTGGCGGAAGGCTGCTGTAACCCTGATGGCACTTTGGCTCAAGTTCTGTTTTGTGCTGTGTGACCAACATCCTATTGTACAGTGGTACCTCGGGTTACATACGCTTCAGGTTACAGACTCCACTAACCCAGAAATAGTGCTTTAGGTTAAGAACTTTGCTTCAGGATGAGAACAGAAATTGTGCTCCGGCGGCGTGGCAGCAGCAGGAGGCCCCATTAGCTAAAGTGGTGCTTCAGGTTAAGAACAGTTTCAGGTTAAGTCCAGACCTCCAGAATGAATTAAGTACTTAACCCGAGGTACCACTGAATCTCCAAAGAGGTATTGTACACCCAGCCACCATACTACCCCCACTCCTTACATACTTTCACTATGCTTCATCTTCAAATTGAACCACCATGATGGTGGCGGCTATAAATAGCCATTTGAACATGCTATTGCCACATCCTAGCAGACTTGTCAGTGTTAGCTCCAAACAGAGCCTACCTGGTTGAGCCTGAAGCATCTGTGATGCCTGATCTATTTTGCCTGTTGCTCTTTGGCATTCAGGGGACAATAGGAGGATTAAAAAGTGCTAAAAACAATGTGAGTACTGTATTCTTGCTCTGGGAAAAGTAGCTTTCCGTAAACCAATGGCAGGTTTCTTGTCTTAAATTTTGCCTGCACCGCTAGCAGATTGTGATCATCCTTCCTGTAAATCAAGACTGCACTCCCTTCAGCTTGTAAATCCTTGCTTCAAATTGCTGTTTCATTGCAGCAATTCTCTTTACCTTAAAACCATAACAAATCTGCTTAAATATCTCTAATAACTCCCTGGAAA